GCAGAGAACACTGTCACACATTTTTTATTATTTTAATTATTTCTAGGTTATGTAAAAATGTCTTTAAATGTTAGGTAATACATGAAAAAAAAGGTACATTTTTTTTTCTTCACTGATCTGAAGCTAGCTCTGTCATCTGAACATGATGCATGTTCTTTTTTTGTCAATAAGAAGTAAAAAGGACAAAATGGATGCTTCAGAAAACAGATTTCTCAATAGTGAGAGAAATAGTCATCTTGTCATACTTACTAGCACTCCTAAATTCATATTATTTTGATACAGGTCAACATTGTTTAATCTAGTTTAAACACATGTTTAATCCAGTTGTATGAAAACAAACATCTGGGAACCAGGCAGCATGATAACCCAGGGCACCTCTCAAATAGCACCAGGCTCCTCTGTGCTGGAAACTGCACTAATCCCTGAGCTTAACTGCCTGGTAGAAGCTTAGGAAAGTGGCTGACATGGAGAAGCCTAAATGTATATGTGGATATGAATTTGAATCACACCTTTAGTACTTTCAAGTGCAAGTCATAACTTTGTGCCATCCATTTCATCAAGAAAATACTGACAGAACTTCACAAATGTGTTGTAGATGAGATTGGTAGAACATACTGAGCTATCTGGTCCATACTGGTCCATAGCAGACTGTGAGGCAAGAAGTACTCTAAAAAAACTACAACTCTAGTCAGATATAAATTCGTATCAGTTCGACTTCTTTAATAGCATAAGCTGGTTAGAGAGCTGAAATGTGAATTATTTCACTTTGTATAATCAGTCACATTGCCTAGAAAGAGAAGTTAGGGATTGCTTGAAATATAGCAACATCCCGGATTTTTGTTGAACAAAGGCTCCTCCATTGTTTTTTTCTAATCCAATATATATTAAAAAGGTCAGAACTGAACGAACCTCAGTATACCTATGACCATATAATTGGTATCTCTTTTCTAAATGCCAGGTGAGCTGTGGAAAGAATTTACACAGTTGCCTAACAGTGGCAATTATTCAAGCTAGGATTTAAAGGACTTCTACTGAGGTGTTACATGCAAATTATTAAACACAAAATCATATACTGTCAGATATAATGTGTGCATTCTGCAGGTTCCCTATAATATCACAATTGCAATAAGCACCAAAGCCAGGTGGATCAGGTTACTTTCTTATGAGTGGCTTTACAGGTTATTTAAGTACTTAAGCACTGGATTGTTTCTGCCTTGGGCATCATTTGCTATACTAGATCTGATCCATAGTGTCTTCAATACGCAGACACAGTGAATTATTCTACTGATGCCTTTAATGCTCTGACACTATGAATTATTCCCTCAATGGCATTTGCAAGCCTTTGAAAGTGGTCTTATTAAAAGTGTTGCAAAGAGGAAAATAGTAATATCTATATTTATCATATGCTATTTTTTAGCTTTCTTTCTTGAACAATAATCCAATATTACAAGCAGGTACAAAACCAGCCATTATAAACAGAACATACTGGTGCAGTGTAAGTTACCTTTATCTTAACTATTTTCACAAGTAAATTTCTGTAATCTTTGAGCATGAATGTCTTTGCATTTCAACCATAAAAACATATCTTTATTATCCTCATTTTTTACTAGTCATTCAATTCTATGCACTCAGTATGATGTGTATCTGGGCCTGTTTAGTGGAGAGGAGAGGAGAGGAGATTGAGAAGAGATCTGATCAATATGTACAAGTACCTGAGGGGTGAATGTAGGGAGGATGAGGCCAAACTCTTCTCCGTGGTGGCCAGTGACAGGACAAGGGTTAATGGGTTAAACATAGGAAGTTCCATCTCCATGTGAGGAAGAACTTCTTTCCTATGAGGGTGACCGAGACCTAGAACAGGCTGCTCAGAGAGGTTGTGGAGTCTCCTCTGGAGGTCTTCAACACCCTCCTGGATGCCACCCTTTGCCACATGCTCTAGGTGTCCCTGCTGGAGCAGGGGGGTGGGACTAGATGATCTCTAGGGGTCCCTTCCAACCTTAACCATTCTGTGATGCAACCCATTAGCACTTCCTCATAATGTTACAAGAAACACCAAGAAAACTGTGTTTTTGTTTTTGTTTTGTTTTGTTTTTTCAAGAGAAAGTGAATAGATTCTAACTTCATGCTGTAGCCTCCATATTAACAGGTACTTCCCATTGTGTCTTTATGTGTGTACAGACAGCAAAAGCAATCAAGTCTTTCATCCTAGTAAATCAGCTAACACAGGTGCTAGTAAACAGAAATACGCAGAGGTCCAAACATGCTGCTGACTTGTCAGAGCATGTTTCAAGGTACAGCTTGAGTAGGAAGGGCATGAGACATTCAAACACAGGAAATCTGCTTCGGTGCATAAAGATGAAGAAAATTCAGTTCTATAGATAAAAAAATTCATCTATACCATTTATTTGCCTTATTTGTATATAGATTTAGCTTTGGGTTTAATCTGGTCCACAGTGACTAAAAGGATGTAAGTTTTCAGTCCACACTAATTCTAAAGCAAAACATTTTTACTTATAATGCCATAGTTAAAATATATTAATATAAACAACAAATGGTAAACATCATATTTATATGCTTCTTTCATGACTGCAGCACTCAAGGGCACCTTTGTGTCAAGTACTTTCAGAGGTAACAAGATTTGCTCTGGTTACGTGGCCAGGTGCTTAGGGTTTAGAGGAACTCAGACTTCATGTTGACTGAAAGAGTACAGAAACCCCAAAATGCAAGTTCACATGATGCTTAAACACGTTGTCAGCAAGCGCATAAATATTGGAAATGAATTCAACATATTGCCCCTCACCGGATCCTCTCCAGTTTCTCCATATCGCTCCAAGGTTATTATCTGTTCTTGCTGGAACTTACTGACAAACAGAAAACCAGTAGAAACAAAAATGGAAATTCTCAAAGCCAAAGACAACCACTTTAGCTTCAACAGGAAGTGGAGATAGATCCACCTGTGATGGAGATATTCTACCAGATTTTTGCCTACATAAGATTAGGGGTGACTAAGATGATCCTTTCTGCTCCCAGACCAGTGAAGAAGTTAGTCATCATGTGTCATGACAGGCAGTTGGGAGCCAGGTGATAACATGTTTAGCTGTTCTGGCTGGACCTCAAAGGGTCTGTTTACACATATAGATTTTCAACAGCTATTATAAAAAATAATTAAATCTTGTCTATTAAAACACAAATATTATCCTTATCAAGCCACTAGTCTTTCTAGTTGATTTGAATGAAAAAATAGGCAATGTCTTATTTTATTTAGCAGACAGTTTCAAACAAATCAAAGGAGCAAATTAAACTAAATTAAGCTAAACTTTATGGCAACATCGTAGCATCTATCGTTTCAACTTCAGCTTCATGATACTTTCCTTTTATATATTAGTGTTGGTTGGTTGGTCCTAAATTCTTCCACTGAATTCTGAATTATATTGTGATATCATATGACTTGAAGACTAACAACAGTGTCAGTATCATAACTACATCTTGAAAGTGAAAATTGGGTGTAGTAAGAACAAAATCTATAAATTCAAACATTCACTTTAAGATCCCATCTGTTAATTACTTTTGCAGTTTATGATTTTTTTTATGGATTTAAAAGAAAGGAACCAAAATCTTTTTTCTTCTGAAGTCTTTTTCTTCTGGAGTCTTTTTAATTTTGACCCCACTTCAGAGAGTTTTTCAGTTAATTTTCAGTTCAATTAAAATGATGGAATGTTTTATTTGATTTACACTTAAACATAAACCTTAGTAGGGAAGAAATCACCTCTTGATAATAATATTTTTAAGATCAACTTTCTATTCTCAATAACTTCCTTTTGAGAGTTTAATTACATCTTGACTTTAATTTGAAAATATTTTTAAAATACTTTCTGAGCACTACTGCAGCATTAGCATTATTACTAGTCACTGACTAATTCTCAATGCTGTGATCTTTCCCATAAACAATAGTCATCTAACTTCATTTAATGCTGTCTACCAGAAGAATGGTTATTTATAGGTACTACACAGAAAAAAAAGAAAATGCTATTTACAACTCTTTAAAAAGGAAGAAGCTGAAGTCTCCATCATATGATATAGAAATGTTGATAAGAAGGGATCTCCAAAGGACCTGTGGAGGTCACCTGGTTCAACTTCCACCTCCCACTCAAATTAGAGCTAATGCCGATACTAGATGTGGTAATCCCAAGCCTTTTCTAACCAAGTAATGAATGCTCCTAATTAACGTGCTACATTGCCTTCTGAGTGATTTTTTTCTCTCTAAACTGAGGCTTTTACTCCTTCTTATATTGTGCTGCCTTCTGAGTGATTTTTTTCTCTCCTAATATCCAAACTAAACCACCTATACTAAAAGCTTGAGGCTTTTACTCCTTCTTATATTGTGTACTGCTCCTAAAAATAATTGTTTCCACTATTCTCCTATCATTCAAGTATTCTTAAGCTGCTAGTAGATCTCTCTACAGGCCGCTTTGTCCCTACCTCACCAAAATACAAGTTTCATACTTTTGATCCCTGACCATGCTGATAGCCCTTCACTGGACCCTGTCCAGTTTCTTTGTATCCTTCTTGCATTGTGGGGGTTCCAAGACTGGAAATATTATTCCAATTGTAGCCTCAGCGGCACAGGGTATTACAGGAATAGTTATTCCATTCAGTCTGCTGACCAAGTTTTTCCTAGTGTGGATTAATATGCAGTATTCTTTAGTTGCACGGTTGGTTCATATTCAACCTAGCATCTATTATAATTCAGTTCATCAGAACTATTCAGTCTAACCTTCTTATCATGTCATGGCATATGTCTTTGCACCTTTTCAAGTTCAAAATCAAACTTCTTGTTGGGAGTCGCTTTCCCTAATCCTCAAATTTATTGAAGTCACTCTGAATGAGGTGATAATTTGTTTTTAAATATCCAGAGTACCCAGCAGTCATGTGAATTTTACCATAACAGGGATTATATTCATTTTATTAAGATACAAACAACCAAAAACAGAGTAAATTACCTGTGGTGGAAGCAGTGGTAATCTGATATAAGCAAGTAGCATACTTAGGTCACTGCATCGCCTCTGCATATCATACTTCACCCACATCATTAAGGCATGGAAAATTGTTTCTTCATCAGGAACATTGACATCATCACTAGCCAGAAGTTTATGGAGTTCTTCAGCTGGTAGTAGTAAAAACTCTTGATTTCTCATAACTTCCATTATATTCTCCTGGGAAAAGGAAAATATTTTATATTCATTAATACTGAAAGGAAAAAGATCAGATATTAAAGCTAAAAAATCTCACAAGATTGGGCAGTAGCGTTTTCAAACCCTCATATAATTCTTCAGGAAAAGAAAACAAAAATTATTAGATGAAACAGCTATAGTTGCTATTCCTCTGTGACTATGAAAACAAAAGGAGGATTATTTGTAAAATTTTGCAATAAAGGTAGAGTTAATTAAATGGATGATGTTCACTAACTAACTGGATGATGTTTGTCTGTACAAAGTTAAGAAGCTCAGGACCAAGACTTCAGCATTATTATGTTAAGGGAAAGACAGATAAACCGAGGGAAGTAGATAATTTTACTGCTACGCTTACTCTGTTCAATCATTAGAATCTCAAAATTCAAATTAATGCTTATCTAGAAATGCTTGTTTGGGTTTAGACTAGGAGAAAGACTGACTGTTCAGTAGGAGCTGAACTAAAACTTATCCAGTAACACTACTGAGACAATGCATCTGCCAAAACAGGAGACAAAATTGCTCCCAGATTTAAAATATCAAAATTACACTGGCACAAGAATATTGACCTTTTTTTTTTTCTTTTTCTCCTAAAGTGCATGGAGATGATCATTCTAATTCTCTAACACCTTATAACTTGAAAATTGCTAATTAAAATAAAACATTAAAAAGTGTTATATGATATATTATTAGGATTGTAGGTAGAAATTAAAGATGATAACAGACTTTGAGCTTCATTGAGTTGTGTAATATAATTGCACATGCCAGCACATGCATGCAAATAAAATGAATTGGCTAAAGCTGGAAGTGATGTGCATTGAATGTAAATGCTTTTTCATATAAAACAACTTATAATTATGCATTTTTTTTGCCTTTATATATCCACCTATATAGGCCCACCAACACAGAGACAATCAAAAGTTCACATTCCCCATTAACTATGTTGTTATACTGATCTTTATAGCAAAAGTTAACTCAGCTTAAGTCAGTGTGGTGTTTTTTTATTTATTTTTTTTTAACGTCACTTGGTTAAATGTCAAAGGGTAGCTAAAAGACAAGATTTTTATGGTCTGAGGTTTTAATCCAATGACTTCCATTAAGCTATGTCTAAATTATTTGACTAGAATATTGGACAATAGTTTGGAAATACAGGGGGAAGTTTGTAGTAATTGAACCACAAGCTGGCTTAATTTATTTTAATTAAAAAGCCATAAAACTCAGAAAATTTCAATGCACTTTTCAATAAAATGATTTATAAGCCAAAGTTTAATTAAGTCTGGTTAAATTGCCATTAAATCTCATTAAGAAGATAGTATAAATCTACTTGTTAATTGGGACCAACATCCAACTTTGCAGTAGTACATTAATCCAATGATCTAATATTCTAGCACAACATTGTGATGATAAAATACATTTATGAATTCAGAGGACTTAATTTTGAGTAATACTTGGAGCAAGGGCTCTCAATCCAGAATAATAATTTCAGGTTTGATATCTATCTTTATTTTTGATTGTACTTTTATCTGGATACATGTTTATATACTTAAGGTTACCTTATTCCAGTCTCTGTGCTGATTAATCAGTGATTGAAAGCAAAAAGTATCAAAGTTTTCGGACAAAATATATGAGCTGTCGAAGTCAACAAGCACCACATAGGCAAGCGTGGGGCTCTGTGTGGTGCAGCCCACAGAAGTGAAATTTACTTTAGCAGCTCCCGAGAGGCAACAAATCCTGAGTGCTCCACAGCTGGTGCCACCAGACTCTGGGGTTGCTGCAGCCTGGAGGCATAACTTCATGATCAAAAAATCCAGACAAAGCAGTAGGCACAGGGCAAACCCACAGCATAGACATCTCCACTGCAGACACACACCGTAGGCATTTCACGCTTTGGAGGCCTACCCTGCAGAAGCCCTGCTAATGGGTGCATTGCTACTCAGGGAACGCTATGAACAGGCTGAGCACCAGGTCACCTGTTAATGTGCACCTTGGTCCTGACCAAAGTCCTGCAGCCTTGAAATACTGGTGGGCTGGCATTGTTCTGCCTGAATTTAAAAGGGAGTAAGCCCTTTTATTGGAGAGATTTTGGTGTGAACTTTGACCCACAGTCATCTTACCTGTGAACTGAGAATGCACCCATCAGTGGGGATGCCCCTGACACCAATAGCGTGCTGAGAAGAAACTGAAAATTCAGACCTGCAGGGTGTCCCATAAAAGGTGTGTACCCATGGCTTGGGAATTCCAGAAAAACTATGCCAGAGGGATAGCCATTGCTGAAATGGCGAGAGTGGTCACTGTACCATGCACCCATGATTGAACTACAGAGGTCTGATCTGTATATATATTTTCAGTTCTGATCTAGTTCTAGCTTTGTTACACTTTGTTAGTTTTGTTATGACCTCTTGTCTTTAATATACTCTCACACTTGACAAAAGACAATCTCCCGAATTCAGCATAATTAAACTCAGAATCTGAAAGAATCCCAGACTCATGCAGTTCCAAGCACATCAAAAAAGCCTAAAAGTTTTGTACGAAATGTCTTGAATTACACCGGTTTTCATGTGACCCAAGATTGCGAATCGCAGGAACTACAATTTTTTAAAAGTCTTTAGATAGTTGCAGTTGAGATATATCTAAAATATAGCAACAGCAAAATACAGGTTCTTGATTTTCAGAGCTAAAAACTCAAAATCTTTATCATTACAACTTGACTAAGGAATATATCTCCCTCATAACTTCCTAAGTCACATTTCAAGTTAAGATTAATTTCATTTGGAGTCGTTAAAGTGTATTTCAATAGAAATCTGTTTTATAATGGAAATCATTTATTTTATTCTTTTCCTATGGAATAATATCAGAAGGACCATGCTCCTTCTTAAAAGAAAAGAAGTGTATGAGACAAGACAAACATCGATATGACATTAATCATTTATTTTACTCCCTAACACTTTGATTTTCTAGCACAAATATTTCTACACACATGTTTAGTCAGATTTGCTGCAAGATGTTTACCAGAAATCCTATAAACCCTAGTGTGATACCTCAGGACAAAATTATAAAATAAATAATTATGTCAAATCACTCATTACTTGTAAGGATGTGTTTGTCAGGTTCCCACAGGCACTGCCAACACTGCCGGTCACTGCCACTGGGCTCCCCACTGCTGTCCAGCTGTGGCCCATTGCATTCTGTCCACCATAGACAAAGGGAGGAGTTAGGACCTTTCACTAAAGTTTTCTTCTGACTTTCTTTTATAATAAAAGTGGCCTTTATTTTTGCATCTTAAGAAATCTGATACAAAAGCTTGTCTCTAATTTTCCACTGGATAAAACACTGATAGTAAATAGGGTAACTTTATACATTCAACTGGAATTAAGGTGCAAGGTCCTGATACACTGAAGTAGTCTGAGCAATGTTTAGGTCCTAGGAGCCCAAGAAATTTTGAGAATAAAGGCACACATCATTTGGGCATATCCAGGTTTACATGACAATGAGTTTTTAGGACCTGTAATTTCCAAGTCCGATCACGACAGAGTGTTGTAGATCTGGACTCCAGAGATGAACCAGTCTGTGACTAATACTTCTGCATGGATCATTCACTTAGCCTTTTTCTCAGGCAAGGATTGTAATGTTTTAATTCAGTAGTGAATTTTCACTTTTGAATTAGAAAAGGTAATTTATAGTGGAATGTATGAAAGTCTCTGAACTCACTCAGAGAAAGTGATGTCTCATTTCACTGCTGTTCCATTTTCTCAGAATGATGATACAATAACTGCTGTCATGGGGGTCACAGCCTTTGCACGGCAGAGTTATTTTACTTTTAAAACTTTTCAGCAACACACAGGATCAGACTATAAAGCAGTAGAACACAGTCATGTAAACAAAATAAGTCTATATTTAAAGGTAAATAAATAGCTATTCAATATCTTAATTGTGCATCATAGGAACATAAATGATCTAAGGAAATTAAAGTATTACCATGTGGTACTTAATAAAAATGAATTCTATTAGCTATATCTTATAAGGATTACCTATGCATGTAAATTTGATTTTTCAAATTAAGATTTCCACAGGGGGTCAAATTATTTTAAAAAAATCAGTTGTCATTGATGCATATGTTCACTGATTTTACTAATTAGCATGTATGCAATGGTAAAGAAGAGCCTGAGAGTAATTTCTTCAATACTACAATAAATATGAAATAATTTCACTCTTTACCACCAAGAATGCCACATTCTGAGCATGCCAGTAAGAATCTGTTGCAATTTAACAGAAATACTTTAGTATTAAAATGCTGAGCAGGTATTTTGGTTCTGGATGAAGGAGTTTCATTTCAGTTTTGTATTTTATTGATTTTGATGCCATGGCAATGCAAAAATAATAAATGCATACAAGAATAATGAGGAGAAATATCTGTGCACTGTTTTTTCTCTTAAATGATAACTGACTAATGTCAATGAACATTCTAAATCCATACTGATTTTGACTAAAGTTTAAGAATTTTCCAAAGAACATTTAAATAAATGAAAAAGTAGTGCCTTTGATTTCTACATTAAATCGTGTAGTTTATTTGCTGAAGTGCAAAAGACCTGAAATCGATATTGATTTTGGCCAAGGCTCAAACTATTTCAGTCTGAAAATTGTTTCTGTAGTGCTACATACAATTCAGCTGTTTTGTTTGCCTGTTTCTCTATCAGTTCTGTATCATGCAAGACTGTATCACCTATTTTCAGTACTACCAAGAATTACCTACCTATGCAAAGACTGTTTTGTCATGTATCTTCTTTCCTAAGAGTGGGATTTTTAAGTTCTTGAACTTTAATTCCCGTTGAATTAAAAAAAAAAGAAGAAGAAGAAAAATCAGTATTTATTAGCATGTATTTATTAGCATGATGTGGCCTTTCTCACAAGCCAAATTCCAAATCTCACCAGAGAGAACTCTGCCTGACCTCTATTGAATCATTAGTCAACTATTTTTTTGTCCCTCG